GTCACCCTGCCCGGCGGGCGGTGGCGGGACAGACACCAGCCCTGCCATGACCCCCTGCTGCCTGTGGACTCTGGGCGCGGGGCGCTGCCTGTCACCCTGCGTGGCTGTCCCTGCCTGGCCCTGAGCAGATGATGGTTCCCGGCTGTCCAGACCCCACGCACAGCCCGGCGCAGGGGACATGACGAGCGGGGCAAGTGCTTGGAGCTGTGCCACGGCAGCCACCGGCAGTCCCATGCAGTAAACAGCAGCACTGGGCGGGCGGCCGCCCCCCCACCAACTACCACCCTGTTTCAGCATCACCTGTACCGCCATGGCCCTGCCCACCCATGCTGGCTGGCACGAGGGACGGCGGGAGCCACGCTGTCTGCCCGGGGGGTGGCGGGGTCCCAGACCATTGCGAGGGCATGAGTGGGGCTGGCCATGGCATGGGGAGGGCATGCCCACAGCGCTGGCCCTGGCTGTGCAGTGCTTGGCTCCCAGCAGCAGCACCGTGCCGAGCATGCAGTAATTTTCCTCTGTTTACTTGACAACTTGCCGTTTGCCCCGGCCGAGCGGGGACCCGGCGTCCAGGGGCCGGTGCAGCGCAGGCAGCGGGGATGTGGGGCGGCGGAGGGGTCTGGGCCATGGTGCTGGAGGCTGAGAGCCTGTGGCAGCAGTGCTGTGGGGCAGCATGGTGGTGCTGTAGGGACACATTACCCATGGGGAAGAGGTGCTGTGGGGCTGAGCGGGTAAGGGGACGGGAGTGCAGGGGTCGTGGGCCACCAGGTGCAGGGATGAGGATGGGGAGGGGGACAGGGACAGACCCTGCCCAGAGCCAGGGCGCCAGAGCCGGTCCGGGCAGCCCCCGCAGAGCCACTGGCCCCCACAGCCAGGGCCGTCACTGCGGCCTCCTGACGTGGTAACGAGCCTAATTGAGGCAAATTGCTGGAGCACAAAGCGGTTTCTGGGAAGGTAAATATGGTCATCACTCGGCACCAGGCCCTGCGCCTGTTGCTCCAGCATTGCCATGACAACACCCCACTGTCATCCCCCGTGACACCCCACCGGGGCCCTGCTGGCCCCACAGCACCAAGGGCATGAGCACCCCCAGACCCTGTCCAGGAGGAGTGACACGCAGCGTGGGGGCCCCGTGTCTGCCACACCACGACAGGGACCCTTCAGGGACCCCAAGCCAGCCCCAGTTCACAGGGTGTCCCTGCAGCAATGCCCTGTGTCCCCCGGGGCCATGGGGCAGCTCCCGCACTGCCCCATGTCCCCCGCACAGCCCCTTGTTGTGTCCCGCCATCCTGCTCACAGGCTAGCTGGTTCTGGCACCCCGAGGGGTCCGTGTCAGGGGTGGCAGATCCCCGGCCTCCACCTTCTCCCTACTCAGGGGGCTGAGGCACGTGGCAGGGGCTGGCCGGGGGTCAGAGCTGGCAGCACCGGGCACAGCCCTGAGCAGGGACAGTGTCTGCCGGTGGCCAGGAGCCTCATGCAAATGCCCGATGTCAGCCCACGCTGGGGCCCGCTGGAACGTGGCCCCATAGCACTTGCCACCAGCCTGGCTGCCACCCCAAAGCTGGGGCACTGCTGGTGCCACAGGGTTGAGCCTGCAGCCACTGTGTCCTGGTCATCCCCCTGCTCCCATAGAGCCATGTGCCCTGGCCAGCAGCTCCCGGGCACACACAGACCCCCAGGACTGCTGGGCACAGCCCCTCCTCAGGAGCCGCACAGCTCCTGGGACCCCAGAGGGAGGGAGCAGGGTGCCCGCAGCCCCTGGGAGCAGGGCCAGCCCTGGCCCAAGGAGTTAGCTCCCACGGGACTGCCGTCAGCATCCTTTCCCATCACCGCAGAGAGTCTCTGGAAGGGGACAGCCTGCCGCCTCTGTGCTGCCGTGCCCACTGGCTGCCAGGGCTCTGGCTGAACCCAGGGCTGAGGACAGAGCCTCCACTCACAGTGGGAGCCTGCGGCATACGGCACCCACCCTGCACCGGGCTGCGGGACGGGGCAAGCAAGATGTGGCTGGCTTGAAGGAAGCTGCCCGTGGGCAGCAGTGAAGGCTGGGGCTGAGGGACCCCCCCCTGCCGTGGCCGGGCACTGCCCGCAGCAGGTGTCACCCCCATGTGCACCCTGATAGCAGCCCGGGGTGCACGTCTTGGCAGCACAGCCTGCACGCCCACACCTCCCCAGGGTACATCTCAGGCAGCACAACCTGCACAATGCACACACGCATGCAGGCACACTCACACACAGGCACGCTCACAAATATACACACACACACGCACACACACAGAGGCACAGATCTCAGCTGCCTGACCGGTAGAACAAAGGCGCGCTGCCACCAGCTCACCAGCCTGCATGCCCCAGGCAGAGAATCAGAGAATCACAGAATAGTTTGGGTTGGCAGGGACCTTTAAAGGTCATCTAGTCCAACCCCGCCTGCCATGAGCAGGGACATCTCCAACTAGATCAGGGTGCTCAGAGCCCTGTCCAACCTGGCCTTGAATGTTTCCAGGGATGGGGCATCGACCACCTCTCTGGGTCACTTGGGCCAGTGTTTCACCACCCTCAGCGTAAAAAATTTCCTCCTTAGAGGTGCTTGGGGGGCAGAGGCCAGACTCGGCCACAGCGCGAGTCCCTGGCTGTGGGGCTAAACCCCAAGGCGTGGAATGGGGCCAGAGCAATAAATCACCACTCGCTGCCGGACCCGGTCTGCCCAGGCAGTGGCACCCCCGCGGCTGCAGCCAGGCACCCCGGGGCCATGGCGCCTCGCAGGAATACTCCCACTTCATCAAGGGAATTGAGCACTGCAAATTGGTCTTCTAAGTAGATTCTGCCTGCTGCCGTCCCCTCTTCCCAACGCTTAATTCAATGATACAACACATACCTCTCTTCCTCCCACCGTTTAATCTAATGATAAGCACCGTATCCGAGTCACAGGGAAAATAAACCCTTGCCGAGTTTGATTTTTATAGGTAAACAGCCTGATTTCTCTGGCCTGCGGCCTCTCTGCCTTGCAGGGGCACCCACCCCGCCACCTGACTTCCAACTTCTCCTGTGCCACCTCACCGCCCTCACCCCTGTGGTTTGTTATTAGTCTTTATAAAAATCGCCTGTTTATAGAATGATTTTTGTATGACATTTCATTAGAGTTTGAGCGACTGCTTTGCCTCTGGCTTTACAGCACCCAAGCCAAGAGAAAAACAAGGCAGAGGCTGGCAAGGTTGGGCTGCAGGACCCCCGTACGTGCTCTCAGGCTCAGGGACACTGTTGCAGCCTCCAGGACAGTCCCAGACAAAGTCTGCAGCATGCACCCAGCCATGGGGAACAGTGCCGGGCTCTGTGGAAGCTGGCCAGCAGCCTGCCTGTCCTGGCAAGGAAGGGGGGTCGGCACTGCACAGACCCCATCCCGCACCTGGCCATGAGCCGTCCCTGCCCAGCCATCAGAGCAGCGAGCCAGCCAGCTGCAGCTCTCCACACCAGAACACGGGGGGCACGACCCACGGACGAGCTGCTCGGGGGCTGCTGCAGTCTGGCCAGCTGCTGGTGTGTTGGGACAGCTCTTGCCCACGCAAACAGCCTCATCCCGCTCCCCTCGCACCGCTCCCTCCCTCAGCGGCCCCGAGGTGCAGGGGGTCCCCCAACCAGCAGGCTGGTATGGGTTGCCTTCCTCCAGTGCCACCAGCCCCAGCAGAGCCCCTTCCCATACCCTCGGGACGCACGGCTCCAGGACACACGGCTCCAGACGCGCTCGGGGCTTCCAGCCAGGGCAGCCGCTCGTCCACCGCGCTCCCCAGACGTGGGGCACACCGCGGGGCCCGTCCTGCAGGAAAAGTCGAAGGAGAGGGGCCACGACAGCGAGAACTGTCACCTCTTGCCCGTGCTCCCCCAAGGGCACTCACTCCCCACTGGCTGCGGGGAAGCGGGGCCTGGCAGTGACGGGGCAAGGAAGCGGGCCCATGGGCGGCTCCGGCGGAGTCGGCAGCAACAGGGGGCCGAGGCACCGTCCCGCTGTGCCAGAACTGGGCAGTGCGCCCGGCATGCGTGCATCCCGGGAATGTTTTGGTGATGGGAGGTAAACAGGGTCGTGGCTAAGTGTAGAGATGCACTTGAGGAGAAATTCTAGCAATGCTAAGTATAGTTTAAATGCCATTAAAGCAGGGGAGGGAAGAGGATACGAGTGTATTAATAGTCTCAACATTTAAATCTTTGGTCCAGCGACAGCTCCTAGGATGCTGGCTTGCAGGAGGGCTGCCAGAGCCCAAGGGCATTGTGCTACCAGCACGCAGTGCCAGGCTGCACATGCTTGCGGTGAAGTTAAGAGCCCAGAGCAAATGCAAGGCCAAGATCCCTCCTAGAAAAAAAATAAAAGAAATAAAAGTAAGAGGCAGCTTCTGCTCTCTGCGTTACTTCTCCTTAGGACTTGATCAGGCCTGAAAAGGCACAGAAAGCCCCGGCCTTTATTGCCAGCGCTGAAGTGTAAAATGGAAAACACAGGGCTTCAACAAAATAGGAACGTTGTGGAAGTCTAAAAAAGGGAAGAACAAGGCCCCTGCCCCAGCAAGGCTGCAGGCGTACACGGGCCAGGACTGAGAGACCAGCGTGCACATGCAGCTTGCGGGCACAGGCAGCCAAGCAACCAAGAGAGGATCAGGCAGGGAACAGCTCACCGGGATGCCGCAGCTGAGACAAACCTCTCCCAGGCCTTTGCAGTGTCAAGCCAGGCACGGCACACCATCACCATCAGGAGCAGCCTGGCAGCATCCTGCACGCTGCTCCACCACCGGACACAACCCCTGTGGCCAACAGCCGACGGATCGGCCCTGCGCCTGGCCAAGGCAGCTGCGGAGCTGTGGTGGCAGCGTCACACAGAGGCAGACCCAAAAGGACACCAGCTTTTATTTACAACACTCCTCAAGTGACAGACAACAGAAAAAAAAAAGGGAACAGTATAGCTCAACAAAGGAAAGGTAATGGCAGCCACAACTCCCCCACACCCCTCCCAAAGCCCACTGGCATGGGGCAGAGCCCCCGGCAGCCCCCCCCCCGCCGGCTCGGAGCACAGGCAGGCAGGGGGCTGCCCCCGCCACTCCCCACGGTCTTCTGGGGGCACAGAGCAGCCCCCCAGCTGGCACGGCTGCTCTGCTCAAACAGGCGAGGATGGCACAGTCGCTCTCCCTCACTCAGAGGCGATGATGCAGAAACCACCTGAGCCTTGCCAGGAGTGAAGGTCCCAAGAAAGCCCACCCCAGTGTGAGTTACACTAACCATGGCAGCTCCCCCACAGTGACATTTCCACCAGTTCTCTTCCAAGGGTGCACGTCTGGAAAATGGTGTTAGTATAAAACAGCACGGCGCTGCTCAGGCAAGGATGCCAACGAGCTTCTTTCCACACAGTCAGCACCAGCCGCCCCCCACTGCTGCCACCTCCCATGGAGCTGCCAGAGTACTGAGGCAGGGGGCCTGAACGCAGCACAACACCCCCCTCTGAGCACCTCTCAGGCGCCTGGGGCTGGGGCCAGTGCTGACACCCTGTCTCGCTCCATCTGCAGGGAGAGAGGAGCAGCTCCAGCACCACAGACACCTGGCCCCATCTAAGCACAAAGAAAAATCCCGCCTCGGATACAGACCCACCAGCTCTGGCAGCACTGTGAGTCCCAAGTGCTAGCAGCCCAGGTACAAATTAAGCCCTCCCACAAGGGAGCAAGGAACAGCCAGACTGTGACCTGCCCAGCAGTCAGCTGCACAAAGGGTGTTGAACTGGGGCTGCCTGTCTGTCCCGAGGCAGAAGGACAGAAGCAACTCTCCTTCCTTCTCCCCCCAGCCCGCCCCAGCAGCTGTGGATCCCTGGTGCACAGAAGTGAGCGGAGAACTAGCGCTGCCTCTACTGACAACACAGCTGCTCTGCTCTGCCCCGCTGCACACCAGAGCCCAGGGAGCCCATGTACTCAACAGGCCAAGGGCAGAGATGGAAGGAGAACGGGAGATCTGCGAGCCCAGCATGAAGTGGGTAAGGACAGCTTGAGGTCAGAGAAAGCTATGAGTGGGGGACTGGAATCCTATGCAACAGGCTCTGGGCATCCTTGGTGAGCCCCTGAGCATCTTTGATTTCAGGTAGCTTCAGAGCCAGCCCCAAAGCTGACTGGCTCTCCCGCGGGCTTTTGGGAGTACGGACCAGAGGAGGAAATCAACACAAAATCTCAAATTAAATCTGCTTGAGGACCTTAGGAGACCAGCCGATCTGCAGGGAGGACCCGCCTTAGGACTTCTTTGCATCCTGTGTGTTCCTCCTCTTCAGATCACCCAGGTCGACAGGTTTAAACGCTGCAGGGAAGACAGGAGAGCCTTTGGCGGCAGAGGCCGCATCGCAGCCCTCCCCAGGGCCGGCCGTCTCCTCCGGCAGGAGCCGGGGGAGGGTGCCCCCCGCCCCCCTCACCTTTGAGGCTAGGGTTCGGCATCTTCTCCACGTACTCCTCGACCAGGCCGCGCTCGGAGCCCATCTGGCTGCGCAGGTCACGCTCCACACACTGCCAGGCTGCGGGGACGCGGGTGAGGGGGCAGCTCGCCCGGGTGCAGGCCCGGCCGGGCCCCCCCGAGCCCCGGGACCCCCCCCGAGCCCCGCGGCCTCCTCCCCCGCTCACCCTCGTAGATGAAGCGCACGTTCTCCTCGTGGGCCGGCGTGAAGATCTCGCTGCCGGCGCCGGGGGAGCGCGGGCCGCCGCTCCGCTTGCCGTTGTAGACCACGCGGGACACGGGGGAGCTGAAAGCGAAGCGCGGGGCTGAGCCAGGCCCGGAGCCGCGGCTGGGCCCGGGGCCGGGCGGGGCTCACCTGGCCATGGCGGCGGTG